ACGCCTGAAGAGAACGGGAGTTGCCAGCCAGAATGCGACTTTATGGCAAAAAAGCTATTTTTGGTTGGCTTGCAGATTGAAGGCTGCAGATTCCAGCCATGAAATTGTACCTCGTTTTTTTCGCTTCAGGAAGCCACTATTCCTTGTCTCAGCTAGGTCAGCTTCGGTTCGGTTGGATCTTCTTCCGAATGAATTTGTTTCGGAAACATGTGAAGAAGGCGGTTTGAAAGTCCTCTGGTTGATCCGCTGATCCTCTGTGCTTCCCTCCCCTAAACCCCCCCTTGCAACGGCAATCGCACTCTGATGGTACGCGTGACATGGCTTGAACAAAAGGCCGGCATCGACCATGAGCTTTCATTCTAGCACACACATAAAGACTCAACCCGCTTGCTTGGCAACGTTCTTTTTTTGGGGGTACCGGCATGCCTGTTTAAGGCTTGAAAGCATGGCTAAAGGGAAACAGCCCTCCATGAGACAAGGTCGCATCGATCAATGGAGCCCTGCGACCCAAAGATTTGAACCAGTCCACAGTGTGGAGGACCATCCCTGAAAAAAATGAAGTTTCAGGACTGTTCTCCTTCTGCAAGAACTGCCGCCAAGTACTTGTCCTTCGTTCCACCCTTCTTAACATGAACATTGAACCTTAGCGTCTCTTTTGATCGGAACTGGGGCTGCCGGCCCCTGAAATTTTCTCAAGTTCCCATCTTGCTGACTCACCAGCTTTTTGAACAAGAAGAAGTTTCGGCTTGGACCAGGGCTCTGTCTTCTTCCAAATCCGGGTCCTTTGGCTCCTTCGGCTCCGCCATCATCATGTCCTGGAACGTGGTACGCAATGTGCCGCTCTTTTCATTGGGTTCTCGGTGAAAGGACCTCGGGTAGGTCCTTTACGAGGCTGCTGCCCATTGGAAGAGCTTCGTGATACTGTGGTTGACAGCTGGGATGGATGAAACCCGAAGTTGAATGTTGATGGAAGAGTTTCCGCAGTATCGCAGAGCACAGGCTGCCCAAAGACATGGCCCTTAGCTTTTGCGGAAGGTGCGGTGATTTGCTGCTGCGGTTTTGCTGATCGAATGCCCCAACGGCGAACAGGGGTGCCACGCTCCCTCCAATCAACCACTTTTAAGAGGGTGGGCTCAGGATGGCTCATGATGATACTCCCCCACGCTCCACTTTGGGGAACCAGCTTGGCGTACCGAGACCAAAGGAAAGCACAACCAGGGCCATGTGGTGGTCCAACAAGGCCCACAAAGGATGACAAAACTAACATGGGGTGTCTTGCCATCTACCTTCACCCAACTGTACCCAAATTGACCCAACGCTTTGCCATCCCATACGTGGAACCTGACTGGGGAGTTCAACACCATGTTCCTCCAGAAGGGGGCAATTCATACAAGTCGGACGCTTCTTGGCCGTTCATACAGTTTGCCCCCAAATCGGTGAGCTCCTTCCAATATGCACAGTTCCATCTTTGTTGGTGGGCCAGTCGGAGCAAATCCCCCATGCCCA